AAAATAGAACTTCCCTGGTTTTCTTTCAGCTGGAGCCAGGAGTCTGTTCACAGAACTCTCCTACCAAGCAGTTTTGAAAAGGTGTCTGTATGCAGGTATTTTGAACATCTTATTCAGTGTGAAAAAAGTTCCTTTCAGAATTGATTGCACTGTTACGCTTTTTAACTGATGAATGCAGTAACAGGCAATTTAATTATGTTAGCCTTATGCTTAACAGAGGGCAACAGGTAATTTTTCAGTACCAGGATTAGACAATTACTGCGTTTTAACAAATGTGACCATTACTTGTAATAATGTCAAAAAAAACTTGGAAGAGTGAAAAAAAAAGGTAAAGAATTCATTTAAATGTGAATAGATGCTGCAAGGGACAATAGATAAAAGTGTTTCTCAGCTTAAAAAACAAAACACAGAACATTGAATTTCTGCTAGGTCTTCTTTTGTGAGAAGAAGCTGAGTCTACTCTTAACGCCACGAAATTCAGGAAATGAGGGATTCCAGGTTTTTTCCTGGTATTGCTACAGGCCTAACTTTAGCAAGGTCACTTAAATTCAGTACTGTGAGAATGATTTTGTTACTGTGCATTGCTAGGCCTAAATGCCTCAGGGCTTTGATTTGAGGCTTTAAAATTGCCTTTTCTCTAAATTCTTTGCAAGTAATTGCATTTTGGGCATTCCACATTGCTGCTGAACAACACAAACCAAGTGCAGCTGCAATGTCAGTACTTGTGTCATGGCCAGCTGGCTTGAATCTTCTTTTGTTATTGCTCTGACTTAGGAAGACTAAGGTAACAGTCCTCACACCCAAATTCATGCAGCTCTTTGCTATACTTTAGGGACATTCCTTTTGCCAGGGTGTCAGAAGGCTCCTGCCATAACCTGTGAAGTGCAAGGTGTGACAGGCGGTGTTTGCTTGCAGGCAGTGTCGCCTGGCAGCCCAGGACCACACCAGTGTGTTGAGCCTCTCAGCAGATGGAGCAGTGAGTCAACCTAAAGCACTGCCAGGCAAAGCAAAAGGCTTTGACCTCTGTGTGCAGAGGGGCTAAGCAGCAGTATCCATTGCAGCTCTGGAGGAGAGATTGGCCTCTTGGTTATAGGGAAGGGAATGCATTCCCAATGGAGAAATGCATGAGCCTGTGTATACAAACTGCTGGATGGATTTTATGCAAATAGCCAGAGAAAATTTATAATCTTAGATCTCCACGATGTTCTTAGGGTGGAAGAACATACGGGGGAACTGGATGTGTTTGCCATATGATAATACCTTTTCCTTCTCCGTTCTGGGGAAGAGGGTTATTTGCAAGGCACATTCAGTCTCTGTTCTTCATTGTCTTCTCTGCCATGTTGTGACCCTGTCCTCCTAATATAAGTAAGGTGCTAACAGTAACAGATGAAAATTCAGTCTCAAAAAAATTAAGATGTCTTGTCTGCTGTGTAATGCTGTAATGAACTAAGACAAAGGTTCTCTAATTTTATATGACATTTTTCTCTCAGTCCTGAACTTCTAATTCAAATTCTAGCTGTGAGTCTGTCACAGTGCTCCTGATCCTAGTGAGTGAAATGTTCCAGTTTTATTTATGTGTGCAATTACTTTTACTCTGCAGAGAATAGGAGAAGGGCCCAAAGGTATTGAGACAGAAATAGGTATGTTGGCAGAAATGGCAAATTTCAAGTACTTGTAGTGTAGGGGAAGAAAAGTCCCTTTACAGTCTGAAGTGAGGGGAGTGGGGGTAAGGCGTTATTGTATGCTCTGGATAACAATTTCGTGTTCCCTGTATTCATTCCCCTTTCTGGTAGCCTTTGGAGAACATAGCTGGACCATCTAAATAGCTTCTCACTTGCCACCTACTCCAGCAGTACAAGGGAGTTTGCTGTCCTGGAAATTCCTTTGAAGCTCAGGTGGGCTTCAGAGCAGCTCAGTACGCAGCAGTAGTGGTGTCATCTACCTGTGTCCTTCTCCACGGCCATGGCAGTGTTTGACTCAGGTGTATTTTGTGTGCTCATTTTGAAAGGTGCATCACCAGGATCAGATTGCTTACAAGTATTAGAAGACCTGGAGCCTTTTGTCCGTGCCACAGCAAAATTCTGGGGTTATTTTTTTTCTTCTATTTGGGATCTAAATCCTCCTTAAACAGAGGGTGATACGTGGAGGTATATTATAAAGCTTAAATTGTTACCTATTAAGAATGGCTTTAGTCCCCCTGCATTCCTTGCAGAGTTGTTTATTTTCCTTGTATTTTCTCACAAGATGCTGAGATAGGGTGGCTCAATGTAGTTCATAGATTTGCTGTTACTTAGAGAAATTTGATGAAGTGCAGAAAATACTTGGGATATTTTAATGTAGGTGTGCAACACTGCCAGTTGTAGAACAGGAAGGTTTTTCTCTAGCACTGACTTGTACATGTGGATGCTTGCCTGAAGAAATGCTGGACTGTCATACATATATTGGTGCAAAGTAATTTGCAAAAAAGTTGTGTAAAGCATTGTCTTGGTAAGAAACAGTATTGTTTATTAAAAAAAAAAGTACAACTACTGTGTGATGTATGGCAAGTAAAAATCTTAGTTGGGTCATACATTTTTCAGGGCTGTCAGCTGAAAATCTCTATAGACCAAAACTTTTCTTACCAACAGTTTAAGTCTAGTAAAAGTCTCTGCGAACGAGGAGAAAGAGGTGAGTTATTAATTTGTTTTCCTTGGGGTTTGAACAATTTGCATCCGTTTAGGAGAAGATTAAAGGGACGTTTTGCCTTAGAGAGCCCTCCAGCGGTGGAGGGCGCAGTAAACACGGGTGGGATTGGCTTGGGATGGATTTGTAGCGAGGTTACTGCTGGAAATAGGAAGAGGTTTGGGGTTGGTTTTGGTTTACAATTTATTTATTTTTAATGCAAAAGGTTCGTTTCTCTACTCACATCATTCATGCATTGATACACGTTTTACATATAACTGAAAGCAGCTTGCTAAATCTCGCATTACCCCACATATATATAGAGATATATGCAAACTGAAGAATGAATTTAAATAGGAGTTACGTTTCCTTACTGGTCTGGGAAAAATGGGAAGGAAAAGCATCACCTGACTTTATAAAGTGCCCCTCTGACACCTGTGATGCTATGTTATTGAAGGATAAAAACAGGCTGAGATTTTGGATTTTATATTCTTATGCCAGTATTAATAAGCAATGTGATAAGACATATTTTATCTGGCTTAGAAGTTGTGGATTATTTTGATACTTCAATATTTAATTTCTTGTTTTATCTTTTTGGCTTCATTTTATGAACTACAGTGTTGCACTTTTGATGATGTCTGCCTTTAGTTTTGACTTTTTCTGTCAATTCTAGTTGCTGTAAAATTAGTAAAATTTGAGAAGACAGAAACAATTGGTACATAGGAGGGACTGCATTTATTAGAAAGTTGTATTTAAATGAACAAGTATAAAATTCCTTTTGTTAATTGCTACTGTGCATCTGGAATCCTATCTAAGGAAAAATAGTAATAGTTTGCTTTTCTGAGACATTCAGCATTGCAAGCTTTGATTTCTGTGGAAGCTACAAGATCTGAGGCACTTTTGAAAATCTTGCAAAAGTGTCAGAGGAAGAAAGCAAAGATTTCAAATTATCTTTCAGGGCAGGACAGTGTTGCACGAGGAAAGTGGCTTCATTGCCAAACAGATTATCTTTCCTTTCAGAAGTCTCCCACCCTGCTCCTGCCTAATCCTCTTTTGACAGGAAAAATACTGTAATAATACAAATACCCGGAGAGCTGTGAGTGTAGATGTGGGATATTAAGGAAAACATTTGCTTGTAGGGCTGTGTCGCAAGACGGTGTGTAGTAACAATGACAAAATGCTGCAACTGCACAAGTTTATATAAAAATTTTCTTACCTTTATATTCAAAAGAAAGATGCCAGATGTTTGTCTTGGAGAACTGAGGAGTGGAAGGGAATGCTCTATGAGTATTTCACAGTTTAGAGAAGAGAGAGCTCTTCAGGTATACTTTCTATGGGATGACTGTATTCCTGTGTCACTGCACCCTTAGTGCTGCTCAGAAGGCACAGCCCTAGCCTGGGACCTGCTTATCCTACCTGTGAACCACGTACAACTGAAGAACCACTGGTGCTCATCTTTGTCACTTTTACCCCCACTATGAATACTGACTGAAGGCAAAAAAATGCATTAAGCGGGACTGAGGGGGAAAAGCTGCTTTCTGATATGGAGTGTAAATCCTTTGGGCAAGGACTTATTGTGGCTATTATTTATGCAGGGTTTTTTAAAAAGTCTTTGCTTTGGTGTGCTGGCACCTCATCATTGAAGGGAAGAAAACATGAGCTTTTGCTGCTCAGATCTTTGAAAAATGCCCAATAAGATGCTTTGGAAAATTTGCTCAAAGTAAGCTTACATGTATTGTGTTTAGGAGAGGGAGGCATATTCAACAACCATTTTCTATAGACCAGGCTATTTTAGAAATGTAGCAACTCAGTTTTCTGAAAGTCATGCTTCATTTAGGAAAATACTGGATTGTGTTTTTCTTGTGTCTTTGTCAGGGAGTTTAAATCAAACAAAGAACCTTGAAGAAGTAAGTCTTTAAAGATTTGAAGGGATGGCCTTTACAGTAAATGTATCCTGTTTTTAAGGAAAGTGACATTTGTCTCTTCATGTTGTACTGCAGGTTTTTGTGCTTTGTGTGATGATGGGAATTAGTTCCAAGACAGGCTGGTGATTGATTGAACTGAGTCAACTTTTGTTGAGGTTTCCAAAGCATTGCACAAAGAGGTCTGAGGGGAAAAAGTTTGGGGCATGTGACAGTTAATCTCATTAGCAGTAAGAATGAAGTTTAAGCACACTGTTCAAAATTTACTCAGTTCTGTGCTGCTCTTTGTTTTAATTAACAATCTCCTGCATAGATTGGGAAAGTAAACTTCTTTCCACTTCAGTCCAATTAAATCATGCTTGGAAGCTGTCAGTAGTGGGGGGAACTCCTCCCTACCCCCCTTCTTTTAACTGTTCAGTGAGTCTGTTGAATAATGAAAGAATTTGCCTGACAGGGTTTTGTAGTGGTTCGTCGTCTTGATGAATTATTGCAGAGGATAGACGACAGTCTTTTGTCGAAAATGCATTGGAATGACTCATCCAATTCCTCAGAAAGTGACAATGAAGCTCATTCAGCCTTCACACAGACTGAGCACAACATAGTTGCAGCTTACTTAATAACAGCAGGTATGGGCCATGGCAAATTGTTGCGTAACTTTTTAAAATAGAAATTGTAGATCTGAATACTCACTTTGTACAGTAACAGCAATAGTATTTCATTTTGTGTTAGACAGCTGTCTGATGGCTTTTCTCCATGTTTACTGAAAAGTTAGCAATCAGCTGCCTGACTGAAATATGCAGAAACATCTGAAGTGTGCAGAATCTCAGTTTTCTGCTCTATATTTGAAGGCAGCATTGTATCTCAAAAAATACATTTTGTTGATATGTAATTATAGAAGAGAGTGAGAATTAGTTTCTGCCAGCTTGCAAAAGAGATAAAAATAGGGCATAGCTGTCACATCTTGCATTTTTCTGTGATTGCTCGAAGCTATCTTGAGATTTCTCCTGGGCCACATGTTTGTAGTAATATATGTGTAGTCTGAACATGTGAGCGGGTGTCTGTTAGGGGGATGTAAGGGGAAGGGTTGGAATGTGACTTAGAGGGAGGGAGCTGGTCATTAATCAGAGAAGAGCAGATTCCAGTTGCAGCTGTATTTTTTACCAATGACACGTGTTAGAAAAGCATGCTGTGAGACTTCACATCGTGTTTGTTCCCTGTGACTCCAGTGGTCTTTGGCTAAACTTGAATGATTATAGAATTATTTTTATTCTTCCCTTAAAAACTTTCTCATTGTATAACCACAACTTCTTCACTCGTCTTTTCTGAAGCATTGAGTGCCATAGTAATGAAATATCCACTTAACCAAAACTGAAAACTACTGTGGTAAAAAACAGGCCTTCTATACATTTATTATGGAAAATCAAATCAGTTTAGTCTTTATTCATTGATCACAAATTTTTCCATGTTGTAGTTAGATTTTAAAATACTTTAAAATATTAATGTATTTTACATTTGTATGAAATAGTATCACTGATGGTCGCAGTTTATTTAGCATATATGTCTGAAGTGGTGAGTATCAAATTGCTGTTCTGCCAAAATGGGTATTTTTGTATGCAAAGACAATAATGTTTTTAAGGTCTTTAGAGAAATTAATAGAACAGCTACACAGAGCAGTAGGCTTCTTAAGAAGCTGTAGAAATAAATAACGGTAAAGTATTAGAAGCCTACATATACTTCTTATATTTCTATTAAAATTGATTATGTAGTATGTAACAAGGTGATATTTTCAAATAGTTTTGACCAGCTAGTATTTGGGATCACGGTTATCATTGGTGGTCATAGGGTATCAATTGAATCAACCCAGTTCTTCTTTCTTAATCTCACACAGAAATTAAATGTCTTGGGGAAAAAAAAAAGTTGGATTACTTTGTGGTTTTAGTATTTTTTATTTCTAATTATAGTTGGGGGAGTCTAATACATCTTTACTTTCTTAATGAGAAATGTTTTTGACAATGAAGCCCATAAAGTATTTGAAAGTATGATTGATTGCTTTGCAAAAGCCTTACTGCAGCAAATTTCACATCTGGAAGATTTAAGCCTTGTTAATAAGCAGAAGTATAAGAATAAGAATGAAGTCTGGGTACAGTGTTCATCATTATGCCATTCCTTGAAAGATTTAAGTGTTTCTCTCTTGTTTTCTGAGAAGGAAGTAATTGTTAGACTTACACTGGTCTGTATATTCATTTTTGTCATGACAACGGGAATACTCAGGCTGCAGCAAGCTATGCTGCCTCATGGATGTTTTTCTGCTTATAGTAGTGAAATGCTCTGGTATCATTTTAAAATGGTAGCTGAAAAGGTAAATTCCATATTATACATGTACCTGATTTTCTTTACTTTGAAGCTGCTATTCAACATGGCCATGTCCCACCCCAAGCTATGTTCCTAAGCACCATACCTACACATTCCAAGGAATGGCAACTCAACCACTTTCTTGGGCAGCCTGTTCCAGTGCTTGATAACCATTTCAGTGAAGAAATTTTTTGTAATATGCAAAAGTACTCTTCCCTGGTGCAGCTTGAGGCCATTTCCTCTCACCCTATCACTTGTTCCTTGGGAAAAGACACTGACCCCCACCTGGTTTCACCATCCTTTTAGGTGGTTGTAGAAAATAATAAGGTCGCCTTGACCCTCCTTTTCTCCAGGCTGAACAACCCCAACTCCCTTAGCTGCTCCTCATAAGATTTGTACTCCAGCACTTGGACCAACTTCAATGCTCTTTTAATGGGGACTGCTAAACTGCTGCCTAGAGTAACTTCATTCATCTGCTTGACCTGTTCCTCAGAAACAGAGAAGAAATAATTTCTTGTATCTACATGTTTTTTCTCACTTTGTTCAAGATGGAATCCATCTTCCATCTTATATTTTTCCTCAAAACTTGCTTTTTTTTGCCCTATTATTAGTTTATCTTAGTGATAACAACATTTTAATGAATATAGGTCCCCCTTTTTCTTCCCTGCTTCTTGTTGCCTCCCCTCTCCCACCCTTACTTTTAAGATTGGACTGAATTATTAAATATAAGTGTGTCTAGAAGGATCTTTTCTTCACCCTGAGGATACGAGTTTACAATCCTGTTGTATGTCTGATTTCATTATTGGTAGCTGCAATATCTGTTAAAACATGCCTCACAAGAAACCTGTATATTAAACTTGTAATTCTCCTTTGCTCCCTCTCTCCCAAGAGATGACATGCTCTCTGTCAACAGGAGAGCTGACAGAACTGGCACTGCAAGTGTTTTTTTTTACTGTGGTATTCATTTCAGATCAGATCCTCAGCTCCTTGTGTATTTAAATTTTAGAAGTACATAGGATCAGAATCATTCCTGAAATGTGTGAGTATATGAATATGGTAGATGATGGTGTCAGTGTGGCCAAAAGATGTTGGACCTCTAACAGGAGACCTGCACCTGAGAATGGACATCCTTTGTGGTGTTAATAGAGAGATAGCTGAGGGTTAATTATGATTTTGCCTCATTTGATTTTAAAATTACTGAATCTCAGGGGTTGGCAGGGGCCTTCTGCTAGATCAGGTGCATAAGTTTTTTTTCCAGTCTTTTTTTGCCAGTCAACCACCCTCATTCTTCTTTACCATGGAGGTCAGCACTGTATTTGGTGGCCAGAGTGTTTGAAGTGTAATCCTAGATGCATTTGAATTTCTGCTATGCTTGTCGTCATTGCATTGAAAATCTTAGATTTGGCAAATGCTCCACTGTTGGCACTCACTGAATCCATGTGAAGGTTGCCTAATTGGAAAAGCTTTTTTCTCCTTTTCAGGTGTCTATCCTCTTTGCAAAATTGCACTTGACTGAAAATAAATATTTTTTGGGACTTATATATTACAATAGGCTGCATTTTCTTCTGTGTGTGTATCACTGGCTGGTGTACCTTTTGTAAAGTTTTCCTTTTTCTGTTTTTACAGGAGTGATAAGCATTTTCAGTAACATTGTTGTATTAGGCATCTTTGTTAAGTACAAAGAGCTTCGGACAGCAACCAATGCAATTATTATCAACCTGGCTTTTACTGATATTGGTGTTAGTGGCATTGGTTACCCCATGTCTGCTGCCTCAGACCTGCATGGAAGCTGGAAATTTGGATATACTGGATGCCAGGTATTGCAATTCAGTTAGAGAGAAAGTTTTCAGCACTTAAAAGCAAACTGAGAAATAAGTAATGTCTCTACCTAGTGTTATTTTAAGAGGTAAGTCAGAATTTGACTCTGGACTGAAGCTGATGTTCTATGGTGTCAGCAATTTCAGGAGACGGTATATTGTGTGAATTTCACTTTAAGCTTATATTTACAATCTGAAAACATTAAAATGTAACCTTACATCTATCAACTAGACATTTTAAAATAGCTCTAAGAAGGCTTACAAAATCAAATCCTATAATGAAGATGGTTATAGTAGTACAGGCACATTTGATGATTTTGCTGATAGCTAAAAAACTTTGATTGTGGCTACTGTTTTGATGGTGAGCTTGACAGATCTTGGTGAATTCTGCTTGGCAAATGCATGTCCTTTTTGGATGGGACTAATAGGATATCCAAAGTGAAGGCCTCTAAGGCTTTTGGTCTTTATTAAAGATTTAGCCTACTTTTAAGGGCTATCTATTTCTAAGAATAGAACTGACTGAAAAATGTAGACTTCCGTAGCAGAGAGATGGTGACCTTTGCTCACTGTGTATTGTCATTTTAATTTACAGTATTGATAGACTGTTGGGCATAAGTGCCCAGAAATATGAGCAGTAATGTGAAGGCATATACTGAAAATGTGTCAAAAGGCAAACATTTTGGACATTTATATAATGGATGCTTATCACAATCTGACATCACTTGCCTCAGTAGACAGTACCTTCAAGCTCAAAATTCAGTCATTGTTTGGCAGGAAGCCCCACTTTTAACATCTTTAGATCTGGATTGACATGTGGTGTGTTCACGTTGATGAGAGATCTCACTGATTTGAGAGTTAAGACCACTTGAAGCACAACTCGTGTTAACCTAAACCAAATGAATCCTGTGATCTGAGATGGCTGAATGCCATGTGGTTCTGTTGTAACTGCTGGTGCCATGTGCTCTGGCTCAGGGCTCTGTATTGCTGGCATGCCAGTGGTAACAAAGCCCTCCCAACCATCCTTCCTGGTCAGGCTTCCCACGGGATGACGGGGCAGATGCATTTGGAGCATGCTGGGATTGCAGCATTTGTCATTCTGTGCAAAAGATTTGACACACATAAAAATGGAGCCTGAGGGGATAAATCAATGGGTCATATCTGTGAAATCATCACAACAGATGAAAGAGTGATAATTCAGAACCTCACATTTGCTAAAGCTGTAACTCTTTCTCATGGGCCAACTGCTCCTCAGGTTTCCTTAACATATATTGAAAACATGAAATGAACCCCTCCAAATGCTGAATCTCAAAATTTACTTATTGAAGGACAGTGTTTCTTTGATTTTGAGACTGCTATCTTTAGGATTTTTACTGTGCACACAAGCAAGTGCTTTTGAAATGTTTACTTTTTAATAAGCCACCTTCAAATTGCCTGCATTGTATTAAGACCTTCAAGACCTTGCTTGTGGAGGAGAACTCTGGCTGAATTGTGTTGATTCAGTACACAGATTTATGCTTGTATCTTTGAAAGATTTCTCAGAAATTATTGTCTTGCTTGTTTGTTTTAATTTCAGATCTATGCTGCCTTAAATATCTTTTTCGGGATGGCGAGTATTGGTTTGCTGACTGTTGTTGCTATTGATCGTTACCTGACCATCTGCAGACCTGATATAGGTACTGACTTAGAGGCAAAACTCGGTCACTGTTGGGAGGAGTAAAATTCTGATTTGATTGTATTGTTTTCTCATTAAAAACTCCATGCTTTCAGCACTGGGCAGAACTTGAACCTACAGTACCTGGTTAAGTAATTTACCTAGTTGGCATATTGCTCATTAAAGTGAAAAATTCATAATTAGGCTGTTACTCTGTTTATAAATTGTGTTTTTATGGTAATTTTCAGTCTTTAGAGGGCCACATCCATATAAAGAGAAGCACACAAAATGCCTCTGGCCGTGTGAGGTTTTGACCTCTGTCAAGCAGATGTGAGCCTCTGTTGTGTTAACACCACCCTGGGTGTTTCTCTCTGTTACAGCCGAGTTGTAACAGTTAGTTCCTCCCCTGCAATCTTCCAAGGATGTACTTGAATGCAGTGTTGTGTAATAAGCTTTTGGCATGAGGTTGGGATCAGGTAGTGCCTGTATGCTGAGTTGGAATGGGTGATGGTGTTCAAGTGGCTTAAAAGGCTGCAAGGACTGAGATGTCAGTCAGCAGAATGAAAAGGTATGCTCCAGTGCTGGGACTGCGAGCCTTGGAAAGGGCCTTTATTAACTCATTATGTGCTTGCTGGAAGCCACTTGTCACTCTAGTTTGACACTGGAAAGAAGCAGCAGATGAGAACTGTTTGTGACTGCCTGTTCTTGGCTGCAGGAAGAAGAATGACCACCCGTAGCTATGCCACTCTCATCCTCGCTGCTTGGATAAATGCAGTCTTCTGGTCTTCCATGCCTACTGCAGGCTGGGCCAGCTACGCTCCAGATCCCACTGGAGCAACGTGCACAGTAAATTGGAGGAAAAATGATGCGTAAGATTCCCCCTCATGCTTTCACTTAGCTTTGCTGGCTCACTGAAGTCTAAGATTGTTTAATTCACCACTGTAGGAGCATAACTTCTTTCTGAAGTACGAAGCAAAATTTTAAACAATAATTTAAAACAATGGAAATAACATAGAGCAAGTCTAGAAAGAAACCTCATAGGAATTGAAATATGCTTCAAAACTTCAGTACTTGTAGTTTCTAATAAAAATAATTAGCTAAAGAAAATTTTCCTTATTATTTTAGAGCTTGTTACAAAATGTCATAATCAAATCAAAATACCAAATTCTTTGGTAGCTTTTCCTGGATGGCTATTTGTAAGTTACTCTGTTTTGTTTTTCTGTCTTATCAGGTCCTTTATTTCCTACACAATGAGTGTAATTGCTGTTAATTTTGTTGTGCCCTTAACAGTCATGTTTTACTGTTATTACAATGTTTCCCGGACAATGAAACAATATGCCAGCAGTAACTGCCTGGAGAGCATTAACATAGATTGGTCTGACCAAGTAGATGTGACAAAGGTAAATGAGTGCATGTTTTGTTTTAAGAATGTTCTTTATGTTAAAGTCCTATTGGAAAAGGGGTGGTGCAGCCTTTTAAGCATTTCAGTTTCCTATATTCCCCCTTTTCTTTTATACCAAATGTTAGGTGATACTGAACCTTGGCGGAAGCTTTTAGCTTGATTTATCACACTAGATTCTTTATTTTTGGTCTAATACCCTTTCCATATGAATAGCTACTTTGAAGGCTGGGAACACTTAAAATTTTTCTTGCCTCTATCATTACCTAGAAATGTACCTCCGAGGTGCCCTAGGAGAACTTTTACTCTGTGTCTGCAGAGTCCCTAGGCTTCCTGCTTGTTTCACAGATGTGTCTGGTATGAAATGGATTGGTCAACTCTCATTTGAACTCATGGCCTAGGAATGAGACTGCATTTCCAGATCCTAAGCTGTGTAATTCCAATCCCTTGTTCTTTTCAGTCTGTTGAGCTTATCTCTTATGTAAGCAGTGGCAAATGTGAGTTATGGCATGAAGTGATATATCCTGCCTGAAAGGTTGACATTCTTTTAATGTATAAAAGTCCTTGAGAAATCTTGAAGTTTACCAGCTCCTTTGATTTTCTGTAAAGATGTGATTTGTGGTTGGGCAGGATGAAAAAGTGAGAGAATTGGACAGAAGAGTATATACCTATGTTTTTGAATTACTTATCAGTGCAAACAGCATTCCTTGGAAAATTTTCTCACTGCTAAGTTCTGAAGAATAGTATTTTTACCTAAAAAAAAGTAATTTGAGTGTTTTACTTTTGTGAAGAACTTTCAGAATATTTGAAACTGAGGATTCAGTTAAAATTTTAGACTCATGTTTGTGAAGAAAATGCATTTTTTCTATTTTGCAGTTGAAGACACTGAGTTATAATAAAAAACAAGAGAGAGAAAAATCAACGCTTTAGGGTTAAACAATATCCTTCTTTAGATCTGGACTACTATCTGCTTTTTGCAAATTAGTATCCTCTAAGCTTTCTATGCACCAAACTTCTGAATGAAAACGTTCTTTTTTACATTTTGGTATTGTGTTTGCATTTAAATAGGGATCTTCTGTGAGAGTCACTGCTTATGTATTGATTGTGCTCTAGACCAGTTCATACAAAGTAGCTGTTTACTTCTTGTTTCTCATTTTGTTCATCATTGAAAGACTAACTAGTGGGGTCGGTGAGCCGCACTAGGGAATCCTGTGTGTATGCAACCCTGCAGTTTTGGTTGGTTTTCTAGTGGTTTATTTTGCCCTCTTGATTAATTTGAGATTTCCATTCCAGTTTCCATTACTGATTCATGTCCCTGACAAAAGCCAGAAAAGTCTGTCTCAGTTGATAACCTCTCCTACCTTCCACTATCCCCCAGTTTGTCACTGTCCAGGTCTGGCTGTGGCATAGCATGTCCTGGGGTGTGACCCCCAGCCTGCCCAGGTTGTTCTCTCTGCAGGCAGGCAGAGAAAACATGACATGTTAGATGCCTCTTCTGTATCATACTTGAACATGTCTGTAATGCTTCATTAAACCAAGCAGGCATTTCTGAGTTCCTTAACTATATGTCCTAGAACACTTACTTTCTTGTATTTCATGGTACCATAATTAAGCCTTATGAAACATTTTTATTAACAGCCAAATTAAATATTTGGCTTAAATTTTTGTCTCTGTTCATATTTATTGTTTGTAATAGCATCCCAGAGTGACTGGTTATGGGGGTCATAATTCATGTGTGAAGTCCTCTCTGGTTATTTAGACTCCTGATGGGCAGATATAACATAATGAGTAGTGCTGATTTTGAAGGAATATTGTATGTAATAAAATGACACCGTACCAAACACATGGCAGTGAAGTGTGCTAATAAATCCCCAAAGCGAGATCTCAGTGTAAATTGTCAGAATGTGTCAGGTGTGCTTGTTTATATATTATTTCACTAAGGATAGCTCTGTTTTCACCTAGGTGCATGTGGTTTTGTTATGAGGATTTGTTGTGAGGTCTTCATCTTGAGGTAATACTGGTTATGTATCTGTTCCTCTCGTTTTACAGATGTCTGTTGTGATGATTATAATGTTCTTGGTGGCGTGGTCTCCATATTCTTTTGTGTGTTTGTGGTCTTCCTTTGGAGACCCAAAGAAAATTTCTCCTGCAATGGCCATCATAGCTCCTCTCTTTGCAAAATCTTCCACATTCTATAATCCCTGCATTTATGTAATTGCAAACAAAAAGTAAGTGTTCTGAAATTACTATCAGTCTATTTAATGATTTTAGCATATCATCTGAGTATAGAAGGATCACCTGGAAAATATGGCCAGCTGATTAGTGAAGAGCAAAGAGTACACCTCTGTTAATTTACTGAAGATGACCTTTTAGACAGGAAAGCTTGAAATAAATTGTTATGATCATCGTCAGAACATCCTGAATGGATACATATGTTTGAAAACATATTAACATATCTTTTGGAAGTCCCATTTGTGTTTTCTCAAGGGGATTCAGTATGCAGTTTGGGTTGCATCAGTAGTAGACTGGTTTTAATGACTATGGCCAAAGTGTGTGCATCTTAGTGATGTGTAACTTGTGTAGATTTTCTTGTTTGATTTGGGATGTATCATATTCTGACCGATTAGGATGGATTGACCCTTTTCATTAAAGTAAATAGGTTAAGCCTATTCTGATTTGAGCAAGCATAACAAATGCTCTAATCAAGCCAGTGCCTCTGACTGAGGACTGTTTTGCAAAGAAGCATTCTTCCTGTCTCTGCTACCAACTTTCAAGCAGAGCCTGAACATACCTGCTGAGTCAATGGAAAAACATCTGTGTTTTTTTCTATTGGGTATGCTCATCTTCGTTGTGGCTGTACACTCTCCTGGAATAAACAAAAGCTGCTGTGATTCCTATTTAAGAATAAAATTTGCTTTACACTCTTGTACCTGGAAGTGAAAAAGACCCAGGTCCTTTTGAATTCCAAATACATGTTTCTTTATTAAGTACATTCTACTAAAATTGAAAACTATTGTAATAGTTAAGACCATCTTACCAATTTTTTCCCTTCTATTTGGTTCTCCAGCTAACTCTCTGTTTTCCCTGTCTTGCCTTTCGCAGGTTTCGGAGGGCAATCCTGGCAATGGTGCGATGTCAGACAAGACAAGAGATAACCATAAACAATGCTTTGCCCATGAGTGTATCTCAAAGTGCATTGACATCGCAGAACTCCAGTCATTTGCCTGCATAAGTTATATGGAAACGAGTGAAATCTGGGTTCAAGCTAATTAATCTTTTGGACAATTTATTTTTAAATAATAATCTTTCCCAGCTAGCTGTTTTGTGTTAGTCACATTAATCTTTTTAGAGAAGTTAAGGAGAAAAAACCTGCCAGACTTTAGTTTTTGAGAGTGAGGTTTATTGGTCTAATATGTCTGTCCCAAACAAAAAAGGGTAGCAAGGTGAACACTGTGACTCTTACAGAGAAAGACAGAACTGCAAAGGTATTAGGTTCAGTAACCCCAGATTATATGTATATATTAATTCCTTTTATGAAGTACGTTCCACCAACTTCGTTTGAAAGTTTTCCACACTTCAAATGTTCTGGATACTCCCTGTGGCTGCATACGTGCATACTAAGTGCCCATGTTGACATGCTTTGCAAAGTTCTATTTCTGTGAATATATTAGGGTGTCAAAATACCTACACACACCCCATAGAATCTTTTATTAGGTTTTAGGATTTTGAAGGAATTTCAGCATATTTAAAGTATTTTTAAAAATTTGACTGGCAGACCAAATTAATTTGTAATAAAGACAGCTTTTGTTTTGTAAGTAGTATGTTTCTAGTGCTTGTGACTGCAAAGCAATTCCTGAAAACGTGACAAAATGTACCCTAAAGCTTCACACTTGGGAGGCATATAAAACTGGGTAGATATTTATGGTAATTTCTCATCACTTCTAAGTCAATTTTATGTTTATATAGGTCTGATGTTTAATTTTCAAGAAATACTTTTGTCAGTACGAGCAATGGATTTATTCAGGGTGAAAAAGATGACTGTATAGATTTAGATGCAACTATTATGTGTGTGCACATATGCAGTTTGGCTTTGCAGTGTAAAACTTATTTAAAATATGTATGCATTTTTGGCAAAACCCCATTTTTATGGGATTTTTTTAAAAGCTCTGGCATCTAGGCTTCCTATTAATTTGCAATTTTCAGTATTAAAGAAAATGCCATGCAATATCCTCATGGTGTACTAGATTTCCTTCAGGAACCTTGGAACATTTTATAGACGGTATAATATATGCACTGCCTCTTAGGAGAAGAAAAGAGATATTTTATTACACACTAACTTTACAATCTACATATTAAAGCAACCTTGAAACATGGTTGGATGTGATTTGAAGCAGACTGTGTTCTGACAGAGTAAAGAACGAGCTGATTTAACTGATGCCATTCAGGATACATTTGAAGGTTAAGCAACTACAGACCTCGGCTAATCTGCTGTAATCTGCTGTTACTAAATGGATGGCTGCATTCACATTCGTAGCACACTGCACATGAGTGCCTAGGAATAAAGCTTTCACATTTCTTCATGTCAGTTCTTCTGGGAGGAAGCCATGTATCTGTTTATTTGCTTCTACCTCCTAATGAGTTTTCTTGAAGAAGTTCATGGTTTTTGTCCTTCACAATGCACTTGTGTTTACCATGGCAGAAGTGATGGCACTGGAACAAGGTATATATTTTATCACTTATTATATAGGGCAATTTATGAGGAAAAGTGTTGAAGAAATTGGAGATAATATTCTCAGACATTGCAAATTATTTCTAGCATGGTTGCAATGAAGGCATATTTTACATTAGTATTCTATGGCTAGCAGCATTCCTGAACAGGAGCAGATGGTGATTATAGCTTTGTAGTTAGCAAATAGCTACTCTAAATCTTCATTTTTTTGCAGGAGGTAATTTCTTTCTGCTCCATGACTACTCCTACTATTGCAATGTCCTTTCTATTTCTACAAACTGTTAACTAGTGTAAGGTGATTCTGGTTTAAATAAATACAGTAGTTTCTTATTTTTTTTTAAATCTGCGGTAAATAATGTAATTTTTCGTACTAAGGAAGTTAATTTGAAATGTAGTGACCTGGTATTGTTGTGCCAATTTAACATAAACTCTTCATCATTGCTATTTATTGCCACAGCCTATCTGTTTTAAAGCTGCATGAGGGAAAAATAAAATAGAGGAATAATCAAGAGAAAAGGGGGAGAAAATTAAGGATAGACTTACTGAAGGCAGGGGAGTCTTCAAGCTAGTATGTGCAAACAATATACCCTAAAGAAATTTTTTCCTGAAATAAAATAACTGAAAATGCTAAAAAAATCTCATTTTGCTGAAATCTTTGTGAGCAGAAAGTTCTTTTCATCTCTATAAAGCAAGTAATTTGTGCATAGACATCAAAAAGAGGGCTAGAAAGCTCTTCTGCACTTAATTTTCTTTGGTATATTTTCAATTTTCAGTCTATTCTGAAAGGTAAGTATAGAAAGTACTTTGAATCTTCATAATACAAAAAAAATAGAGTAATCCTAGTTTTGAATTTTAATAATTTTAATAATTTTAATAAGGGGGCATGCAGTTCCCACTTGAGATACATGCATGTATTATTCCTTGTACAATGGCTTTTGTCTTTCAGTTGTCAGTAGAGTGAGGGGTGGATAGAGGGTAGTGCTTACATACTTTAAAATAAAACAAACCTAAGTTTCATGTGAAAGGATCAGTTCTGGTTTGTATTCTTTTTGTCTTTACAGACTCCATGTTTGTGGAGTTTGTTCAACTTTTAAATGCAGAGGACAGTTCTTGATTTCCATGTTCTTTGTTCTGGTAGTGGTGTTGCAGAAAGTTACAGCATTCGCATTTAAATCTGAAATTCAAATTTCTGATAAATAAATGCAAATATGTCCCTCTCTCTTTTTTTTTTTCCCTGTTTCTAGGTCTGTACTCTGTAATGACCCTGACATGTATGAGATCCCTGTTAATGTTCCTGTGGATACTGTAAAACTTCGTATAGAGAAAACTGTCATACGAAAGATTCCGACTGAAGCCTTTTACTACCTGGTAGATCTCAGATACCTGTGGGTGACTTACAACTGTGTAGCCAACATTGATATCAGCAGCTTCTATAACTTGAAACAATTGCATGAGCTGAGGCTGGATGGTAATCTGCTTTCAACTTTCCCTTGGGAATCCCTGGCAGAGATGCCGAATTTACGGACTCTCGATCTTCACAACAACAAATTGACCAGCGTTCCTGCTGATGCTGGCCGCTACCTGAGAAACCTCACCTACCTGGACTTATCCAGCAACAAGCTGACCACCTTGCCATCAGACCTCATGGACATTTGGCCCCCCTTCTCAGGAGCTATCGTGTCCAAGAACACGGATATTCTGGTGACACAGAGAGTAATCTTGGGTATGTTGAACAGCCTGTCTCATTTATTACTAAAATATAGTTTATATTCATGTACTTCATAATACTTATAATTCATATACTAAAATAAAGAACATTAAGTTGCAAGTGAGAGCAATTAGGGGACCAGCCTAGTATTCAGGAGAGTGGGTTTTACCCAGGTCACTTGTGGTTTGCTCTGTGGTCATTTATTTAATTTCTACTGGTAACAGAAAACCGTAAAATGAAGATAGTGACCTCCGTGTGTGTTGTTACCTCAAAGCTATAAAACTGAAGTAAAACCTATGAGAATCCAGTTGGCAGGAATACAGGCCATTCAGTAGCTATACAAATACAGGACTTATATTGTGTTTCTGGTGACATTTGCCTCATCTTTGTATGTGTTTGCAGCTGTAAGCATGTCCATTTGAAACTGCTTTTTTCCAGAGGCTCCCAAGCCATGCAAGCAGCTAGAGCTGATGCTCATATAAAGCCTGTCCTGTGACACAATGCTGCAGATAGTGTTGGTGGCTCAAAATAGGGCAACTCTGGTGTCTCTGGGACCTCTGTTGATCTTGCATTACTCTAAAGCTGACTGATTATCCTGAAGTTTTTTGCAATTTACATATTGAATATGAGAGAGAATAGAATTCTGATCACTATATATTCATGGTACTTTTTATAGCGTTTAAGGTAAGTATTTAAGAACAATTTAGTTACTCTGGTTTTTTTTGTAATTTGACCCCCTTCTCTAGTATGTAATTGTATCAGTTCTGTTTGTGGCATTGTGCTTTATCTGACACTTTATCTCCACTTCCTAGTCTTGTCAGGTAACTTCTTTCTCTTGTTCAGTCCCAGGCTGGAACAGTTCTATCAATACTGTTCTTTTCTGTCACTGTTTCCATATAAGTCCATATTTTGATGTGTTTGTAGTGCAGCAGGTGGAAGGGAGGAAAACCAGCTTACAGTCTCTACTGCAGTAATTCCATGCACTGGTAAAGATCTGTCCTGCATTGTACTGCCCAATATTTCCGATTTCTTGATCCAACCCCCCAGTATTCAGTGTCCATTTGTCCAGCTGCTTTGTTTCTTTGTTTCACAGCAGAAGCTGCAGCTTGAAACTCGCATTCAGATAATATTTTATATAAGTAACTTAATAGATGCAAGTAGGCTGCATAACTTGATAAGCATGGTAACTGTAGGCTTGCATCATTAAAGGGTTTTCATTTATTCAGGATTAAAAAAAAAGGAGTAAAAGCTGTAAAAGTAAGTTCATCTTAGTACTCCTTTCCCTGTCCCCACACTAAAGTAGGCTGTAAAGTGGGAGCTGATTGTGCTAGATCTAATCTTCATGATCTCATGTGGGAGTCCCAGAGATTAATTGGTTTCCTTTGTCAATAAAAAAAGTAAGGGAGAGAAAAGTCCTAAAATTTTATTCTAATCCTTATTACTCTTTTAGTTCTATTAATAAAGTTTTTCTTTGTACCCTTTAAAGTTTTAGTCTACTTTGCCTTCCTCCTAATCCTATCTCACAACAAAAAATTAAGTAAATTATTCTAATAAGTGCACTAATAATTTAGCCAACAGTAAACCCACCACGTAAATTAGTACATTAAACAAATGTTAGCAAATTAGCAAGCCAAAACCACTACAATAGGTCTACAGAGAGGAACACACACTAAGTTTAAACAGAACATTACTTCTCTTTTTTTTCTCTCACTGTTAGGTGCTAAGGGAGGCTCTGTGCAGCCATTTGCACATGAGAATACAAAATGCCAGGTAACATTTTCCTCGTGTTACATTGAGTAAATTTACCTTCGGTAAGCTGTGAATGAATTAGCTGATTCTTTTTTCATTGATATCACAGTTTTCTGATGAGTATATCCCAATGCAGACAGACAGTGCTTGCTACATAAGAAACTCTATAGCAGATAAGAAAACATCTTTCCCTGGAGATTAGAAAGTGCAATGCTCTTTATGTAATGGGTTATTTTGACAAGTTTATTTAGACTCCACTGAGTGTTAGTGCTTCCTTTCTG